TCTTTCCTCTCCCATTTTGCCCTAAATTTAGTTTTCATCGCTATACAATCACCATTTAAGCTAGCTGGGAAGACAATTACTGGATCGCGGCTTACTGAGACAACCATCTATCTCATCCTTCCTCTCTACTCCTACCTGAAACCCGTCAGGAAAGTAAGCTTGTCTGCGCCATTCTTCCTACGCTTGTTTCGGAAAAGCTGGGAGAAAGGTAAGCTTGCTCGCACCTAGGGCTATGAAATTGGTCGAAGATTGTAAATCGCTAAAAAATTGGATCAAATTTTAGCTCGGATCGAAACATTCGAGTCGAGTTACGAGCCAAAATTAAAGGATCAAACTTATTTCGATCCGTCCTTGATTCGTATTCACATATTCAAAACCTATATTTTTTGCCTTACATGCATAATGCATTGTTAGTAGGGCTGTGAATTTAGCTCGAAGATCGTTATTCAAATTTTGGCTTGGATCAATATCAAATCGAAATAAATGATTCGAGCTACAAGCCAAACTTTTGGATCATTTTTTTTTTTCGATTCGACCAAAGCTCGGCCTTAAATTGGATCGTTAACAGGCTTAGTAATGTTAGGGTTGTTAATTTAGCGAATTTAGGTTAAAGATTGTTAATCGCTCGAAAAAATTTTTCGAGCCAATTTTGAGCTGTCCCCTGCTCGACTCAAAATTAGATCGTTAACAACTCTAATTGCCACTCAGTTGGTGAGGGATATTTTTTCTTGAGCAGAGTGGCAAAGGTTCAAATCCTTTCTTTTGCGTAAAAAAAAAAAATCATTTTTTGCTAGTGGACAGGTTGGGCGGGCCAAGGCGGATTCGAGCCTGATCGATCTGGCTCACGGGCAAAAAATTGCATTTGAGCCGACTCATTTAAAATTTGAGCTGGCTCGAAAATCGAATTGTTCCACGCCCGGTTAGATCGAAATTCAGCAAGATCAATTGACGATCCATGATTGAAATTCGTATCGATGAGTATGATTCTAATGATGCTTTGGATGAAGAAATTGTAACTATATCCTCAAAGGAGTCATCAGAGGAGGTTAATTAAGATGTGTAAGTTAACCTAACTACGTCGGATTCGAGCCTGATCGATCTGGCTCACGTGAAAAAAATTGCATTTGAGCCGACTCATTTAAAATTTGAGCTGGCTCGAAAATCGAATTGATCCACGCCCGGTTAGATCGAAATTCAGCAAGATCAATTGACGATCCATGATTGAAATTTTTATCGATGAGTATGATTCTAATGATGCTTTGGATGAAGAAATTTTAACTATATCCTCAAAGGAGTCGTCAGAGGAGGTTAATTAAGATGTGTAAGTTAACCTAACTACGTACTTTATGTTTTCAGTTTTTGTGATGTTTGCATTGTACTTTTCAATTTTATTTTTGTTTACTGTATACTTTTGTGTTTTCAGTTACATAAGTTGTAGATTGCACTTTATAATTTTCATTTTTGTTTATTGTGCACTTTTTTTTTCCAGTTTTCGTAGCCTTTTGATTGCATGCATTTTATTGTTTCCCTTTATTTTTACGACACATTTTTGTATTTTCAGTTTTAGTAGTATGTAGTTGTGCAAATTAATTTTATTTTCTTGCTTGCAGATGGCTTCTAGAGGGAGGGGCAGTCTCCCCTTTATCGGGGGACGTGTTGGCTCGCGGAAGTCCGTCAAATGACGTGGTCGTGGACACAGTCTTATAGAGGCGAGCCTTGTGGTAGACTCGCCCCAGCAGGTCACCACCTTGACTCCCACTACACCATCTCCAGCTGCGAATATCAAACCAACACCGCCTCCAGTTGCAACTACCACACCAACACAGCCACTAGTTGCGTCCACGACCACAAAACCGCCACCAGTCGTGACCAACACCATCACCATCAACATCTTTTGATGCACTGTCTAGTTCGAGCTTCACATGCATCCGTCTTTCGCTTTGTGTAGTGGGGAATAAGTAGTTTTTTTTAGATACTGACATACTGTTTTATGTTTTTTTAAATGTAATAGAGAATTAATCATACTATATTATGTAATCTTCAGTTATGTATTTATGTTTATGAATGTAAGATTTTCTAATTCAATTTACAGAAATAGTTGTCCTAGCCACCTAAGGAGGCATACATTCTGAGGAACTTTGAGCACAAGGCGAGTGACCCCCTTCACGACCAATTCGAGGATATACGAAAGGCACATGAGTGCCCCTTGTGGCTTGACAAGGATGTGTTCGCCAACCTTCTAAAGGCCTGGGACTCTCCAACTTATCAGAAGAAGAGAGAGCTAGCAAAGCAGAATCACTGCTCTAAATACAAGGGCATTGGTGCCTCAAAGCACATTGATGGGACGATCCCCCATGCTGAGTACAAGAGGAGGCTGGTAAGACTTATTGTGCATTGAATCATATTTTACATTAAATGTATACTAACTGGTTCATTACACTGACAAAATATAGAGAAAAAACGAGAGTCATCCGCTGTAGAGTTATATGAGCGCACTCACATGTGGCAGTCAGATCAGTCTTGGGTGAATAGTAGATCCCAGACGACCCAGGTAAATCACAAGATTAATTATTATAAAATTTAAATAACTATCAAAGCTTATTTAGTCTTTAACTTTCATTAATCATGTTTTTTTATTGGAGGTCTTCTAGAGGCTCAAGGAGAGACGTTCCCAACAGTCAGATGGTGGTTTGACCCCACACCTCACGTCTCTTTGAATAGAACCTATGGAGGAGGCTATTGACAACAAGAAGAAGGACAGGTTTTATGGGTTAGCGTCCCAGGCGTCGACCTATGATTTATGATGCCTATCCGACCTCTAGCACATCCGGTATATCTACTTCTACTGCACAGGAGAAGGAGTTTCTTTGCTAGGTTGATACAGAGGTTGCTGCCTAGTTCTCTACCCAACTAGCCACTCAAAGATCGGAGATGGAGCTGAAGATGAAAACAAAGATCCGGTATATCTACTTCTACTGCACAGGAGAAGGAGTTTCTTTGCTAGGTTGATATAGAGGTTGCTGCCTAGTTCTCCACCCAACTAGCCACTCAAAAATCGGAGATGGAGCTGAAGATGAAAACAAAGATCCAAGCGATGTTGCGTTATGAATGACCGAAAGGAAAGCTACCAGTTTCGAATGACGATTAAGAGGATGATGATGAGTGATTGATGAGTATGAGTAAGGGTTATTTTTTACGGTTTTAGATATTAAACAATTTATTGGTCCAAATATTTTTATTAGATAGTTATTCATTTTGTTTCGATTAATACAATAGTTTATCTTTTATTTTTGCCTATTGTTTATGCGATAATTTGTTTCATTATTGTTTTGTTCAGAAATTATACAGTTACGATTACAGTATTGTAAATTGTAGTGTTTAAAAATGAGTTTTTGAAGACTTATCAACAGTTTTACAACTCTCTAATTAAGTTTTGACGGTTTTTCGATGAACTATCATTCAAGCGACATTTTCATAAGGTGCTATTATTTTCCGGCAGATAGATCCATGTGTAATTATCTACAGTTAATCAACAATTATGCTTTTTTCGGCGGAAGTGCGACACTTTTCTGACAAAAGTGCAAGGGTTTTCCAATGGATATATAGGTTGGTTATATTATCGACGGTTTAACACGCTATGGCTTTAAATAAATAACGACGGTTAATATTTGTCGGTGTTAAAATACCGTCGGTAAATTAGTAGGTAATTATATTACCAATTAAGTGTTTTTGTTTCTTCGATTGAACCTCAGCTTAACCATCAATAATTAAGGTATTGATGGTTTTAATATTATTTTTACGGTATTTAATTGTTGGCAATATATTAAATTTTTATAGTGAGACCGTTCGTCAGGGTGACTATTTTGAAATCTTACAGAAAGTATTGAGGAGCCATAAAAAAATATAAGGATCGGGGGAGTAAAGTGAAGGGAAAAAAATGTAGAGGAAGTGTGATCTCACAAATCCTACACCCTTTTCATATAAATAGGGATAAAACATAATTTAATAGCCATTTTCATAATGATAAATCAACATAAAAAATGAGAAAAGAAAATAATTTTATTCTAAAAACAGCACTTATAATTGCAATACAAGCACTCAGAAATTAGTATGAGATAAAGTACTTTACAAGAAAATCAGTCGCCAATTCCGTCAAGACATACCTTAGATGAAGAAGCCTCCTATATTAAGATTTTCCCTCCAAACCTAAATCGACTCAGCTGATCTGACTCGACTTGAGCCTGAAATATTAGGGACCTCTCATAGACATCCAATAACTTCGGACAAAGAGTCGTCACCACGTCTTTGATCCTCTCCACCTTCTCCACACAAGCCAACACTTCACATAATTCCTTGCCCACCGGATCCATAACAACTTCGCATATGAGCTCTTAATTTCATCCAAACGACGAGCAAGCGACCCAAGGGACATCTTGAGTTGGTCAGCTGCTTCCCTGCATCCTTCAAAGGTGATGTCAAGATGATTGACACCACAATCCTCATTCAAGGGTCGAGTCCCTTTGCTTGGTGTCTGGTCTGCAGCCATTACTGCCTCGATTGGTTTCTCACATGTGTTGATCAAAGCCGAACCATCATATAGGATTACTAATGTCGGGTCATCTATACCAAGAAACATAAAAAAGTAAAAGACTTCCAAAGAAGATGAAATCCAACAAACAAGACCAATTTTCCTCTTACTTGAGAGTCAATTCCACCAGATATCATAACTTTTGTAGCCTCCTCACCAACAAGCATCCTTGAACACGACAAGAGATCCCTAGAAGCCATTTGAGTGACCAGGCCAACCGGAGGATCTTGTGTCATTGCAGAAGATTGGATAGTCGGATCGATGATCTGGGTTGGTTAGCTAAACACTTTTTCGCTTAATGCATTAGATGACCCCACCTGATCTAGCATTTTGAGTATAATCTTTCTTTTCATCACAACAACTTTCTTTTTCTTCTAACATTCTGGGCAGTTTAGTACCGCCGACTTCTTGAAGGAGAAGCGAATCAAATCTTTGTTGGAAATTTCATCGAAATATTTCGACAAGTTCTCCATTGCAATACCCAAAATTCAATTGATTCAAAAGAGGAAATATGCAGAAGAAAATTGGAAATGGGAAGGAGACCTATTATGACCTATTTAATAGACTCAAAGACATAAAAAACAAGGGCATTTAGTGATTGAATCATTAAATAAAAATTGACTGTGATTTATTTTTGCATTAAATTATCTTATGTTTTAGCACCACAATTTTAATAAGAGAATCGAGTAATATATATATATAGTGAAAGTTGGCTCACTGCTAGAAGTCTGTGAGGCTCAATTGATCAATCATGCAAAATCATACGAGCCAAATCGATAATGCCAAAACAAATGGGACCATGAGGCAGACAAAAAGAAGACTAAATGATCCAAACACGGACCAATCAGCCAAAAACAAGACAATCATCTATGCCATCCACTACGGTAAAGTCGATCTGGTGCGATATCCTACCCTCCGATACAACCGATCCAAGGGAAGATAATGTTCCATGGGATCTCCAACTATCCTAGGAAAACCCTTGATGCTTCTCAAAAGGGATCAAGGATCAATAACCAGGTCATATCAGTCTGTCAACCCATATCAATCGAGCTGACCCGAAACCAACTAAGATTTGTTGCTCAAACTAGAAAAAAAACCGCAAGTCTACATATGTAAAATAGCAGAAATACTCTAGTGTGGACCCTTTAAGTTGAGGCAAAATATTAATATCACCATTGTTCCCTCTCTTAAAAATGGGAATCATTATATGAACAAGACATGATTGATTATTGTTTTTTTTTCTTCTTCTCTCTTATCTTCTTTATAATCTTTTTCTTAGGTTAGATTCACCAACAAATCAATATTCAACCGTAATAAATCTCTATATATTTATTTTATGGCTTGCAAATGAATGTGACGAAAATCCTTCTTTATTTTGTAAGTTTTTCATGCTCTAGTGCTTAGCTATTAAATAGGTTGCTTTTGAACTCTTAATGAAAGATGATGCGGATTACACTTTCCTCTTTTCATTTTGTGCACATTACCTATTAGTTCTCCCTGTAAAGAGAATTCCTTCACTTTAAGCTTTAATTGCGATGTAGGAAAGTGGGATTGGGAACACTACCATTTCCTTGCACGGCTCACGCTTCGAAGGCTCCATTTTAGGGAAAAAAATATTTTGTGCGCAGTCCATACGTTTTTCTAAGTTTGGACGTCAATCTAAAATTAGATTATTTTATTATTTTATTCAGTATAAATAATTTGTAAAGTTTTAAAATGCATGATTTGAATATAAGGATTCATGTGTGACATAAACATATGATTGTAGTGAAGAAAAAAACTAAGTACAACCGTGTTGAATTGATTAAACATATATATAATCTCTAAATCCATTATAACGAGGACACAAATTGTTCTAAAATAAAACTTTTGAAAGCAAGGGTTCAGAACATAGCATAAAACACGGTTTTACTGAAGAAAAAACTCTGATACAATCGTCTTATATTGAACAAAATATGTAAATAACCTCTTAAATCGACTAAAAATAGGACAAAAATCTCAGATACAACCGTGTTTTATGCCATGCTATTAACTTTTACATTCAAGTCATGTATTTCAGAACTATTTTTATTCTCATTATAGCAAATTTAGGGGTACATATTTTGTTCAATACAACACGGTTGTACAGAGATTTTTCTTCTATACAACAGTATTTCATGATATGTTATGTACTCTTACTTTCAAATCATTATTTTAGAATCATTATTGTCCTTGTTATAGCGGATTTAGGGACTATTTATATGTTTTGTTTGATGCAACACAGTTGTACATGATTTTTTTTATCAGTACAACCATATATTTATGTCATACTATGAATCGTTACATTTAAATCAGTACTTTAAAACCTTACCACTTAATTATTTTGAGCAAAATATGCCAATCATCCTACTTTAGATTGGAGTCCAGACGCAGTGTATCGTCCGGACTCCGCACGTAATATTTTTTTCCCATTTTTCATTTTTAAATAAATTTAATTTTTGAAAAAACTCAAAAAAATATTATATATCATGTAAATTTATACTTGTTATGATTTTATAAATATATGAAGGATTTATTCAACAATTAATATTTTTATAAGAGGATGATAATTTTATTGTATAGATCATTAAGAGAATACTATTTTTTAAAACAAAAAAAAAGTCAGTAATTTACTTTTTAGTGTTTATTTAAATATAAGAAAAAAAATTTCATTGCGGGACAAAAAGAGGAGTTAGAGAGGTCCATCTGAGATAGGTCACTCATGCAATTGCTCTTTCCATGTGCGAGATGAGTCAAATAGCAATAGCAACTTTTTCCTTCTGGAGGCCAATTGAGTGTGAGACATCTCATCTTAGAACTCCTTGCTCTTCGATTGCTTTAACTTTCTACAGTAGAGAAATACCAATGAATAATAGCATGATGAAAATATTTCTGTTTTAAACTATGAATTCGCTATTTATATATATTCGTTGACCAGAAAAATGTTAGGTACATAGGACCGTATGTGCGTATGCGGTTAGATGTGCCCAAGTAAATAAAAAAAAGCACACACACAAACACAAACTACACTGTAATCCATATTGTTAAATGTAAGTATGCACGTTTAACATATCTAATATTTGCTCAACAATGAGAGACAAAGTATAAGGGAACTTCTCTCATGTAAACTCTCAAGATTCATACTTCTAGAAGTGGGAATGACCAACACGAAGACTTGAAGTCATCAGAGAATTGTGATGATTTGATGAACGAAAAATATTTATTTTCTTCATTATAAGTCTTACAATTCATTTTTCGGAACACTAGCTGAAGAAACTTTAGGTCTTTATACAAAGACACTTGAGAAGAAGTAAGCAGCTGCTTTAGTTCTTGACCTGGCTGGCTAGTTGTTGTCGTCGGGACGTTTCGCCAAATTGCTTTAATAATTATGTCTGATACGCACCTTCTTAACCGATCATGTTCACCAAATCATTGTGTCTTATTCATGCTACAATTGGCCAATGAGTGTACATATAAATTTATCATGACAATAGATGCATGATATGCAACAAATGGCGGCATTGTATTGATGTATTTTTAAACTTCTAAGCCAATAAAAAAAAAAATTACGAGTCATTGCTGGTTGACTAAGAAAAAACGGATCTTATAA